AGTTGCCGAACCATAATTACCAGACAATAGGAACAAGAAACCAGCGTTGATCACAGCAAAAAAAAATAACCAATATAAAAGATCACCATACACGAGTTTTGCTCACAAAAAAAAAGGCTGTTACATAATATAATTTCTGGGTAATTACCACTAAGACAGGAAAAACTAGTCGACTTGTCCTAATGACGGACGAAAAAGAGAATAATTTAAAAAGAAAAACATATCAAAAAATAACGAATATGGATGTAAGCACTATCGCCGCCGCCGATAACAACTAAGTGCTGCCAACACTAGTGCAATGCAACGGCAAAAGGCACTCACAAATTATTGGCACCAACATACAGCCATACAGGCATAAAACCAAACAAAAACAAAAAAAAAAAACTAATAAATACACGAAACAATAGGTGATAGTCAATGGATCTAATATTTAATATTCTAAATCTATTTATAACAATAAACCTAAATATACAAAGTTGATAATAAAGTAATTGATAATATAGTGATAACAAATTAACAAAAAATATTTGGTGGTATTTTTAAATAAGCCAATCGTGGATGATTTTAACACAGGTGCGCCGAGCTCATATATGGAATGCTAATATGCCTACGGGCTACGGGCTATATTTAATATAATTATTGTAAGCAAAACGAAAACCTTGTGTCAAATTTTCAATTCTTAGCTTTATACAAAATTGTTTATACGTTTCTATGACTTAAAATTTTAGAATAATAACAAATATTTAAAATCGTTTGAAGATAAATCGTTGTTTATTATACACAATTTTATAAAAAAAATTCTAAAATGACGCGCAAGTTTTTTTATAGTTATTTGAAGAAAAACTTATGGATTGTGTATTGAAGTTTTTAAGCTTATAGGTATATAAAAAAAATGCTTATGAATTTTTAACTGCAAAATTACTTGAAAATGTTCACGATTTTGACATATTTCGTAAAAATTTGAAATTTAAGCGCTTATAAGAAAAATTGCGAATTAAATATGTATTATAATAATATCATAATATAAATCATTATAATTATATGTACTTACTTACTTGTATTTCTTTGTCGTTGCCCGTTTGAATGTTTGATAGGTACTATTCGTAAAAAATAACTAATATTTGGTATTATATTGATTATTTTCGTCTTTTATCTCCAATCCTACCTTACCTTACAAAAAGGCAACAAAAGTTTTTTTGGTTTTGGAAAAGTACTGAGTTCAAGAACATTATCGACAAACCTGAAGATACAAATGTACATGACCCTGATACGACCCATAGTACTGTATGCCGCGGAAACATGGCCACTTAGGAAAGCAGAAGAAACCAGACTAAAAGTATTTGAAAGGAGAATCTTACGGAAAATCTACGGCCCATGCTTTGACACAAATACAAGTGAATGGCGTAAACGTCATAATAAAGAACTCGAAGAGCTGTTCCAGAGACCGAACATCGCGAATGAAATCAAGAAAAGAAGATTAACCTGGGCAGGACATGCATGGCGGAAAGTAGGATCCATAGTCAGAACAACAATCGAAGAGAACCCGGTCGGTAGGAGACCCTTAGGTTACGCTGGGAAGACTGTGTAAAAAGGGACGTGGAAAACATTGAACCAGAGATGCCATGGAGAGTAGTGGCAGAAAATAGAGATAGATGGAGAGAAATTTGTTTGGCGGTATGGTCTCAATGACCGAAAACCAAAAAAAAAAAAATATNTATATATTTTTTGTTGTTGTTTGTATAGGTATTGCATTTATATAATATTTTTGATCTAAAATAGGTCAATAAATAATATATTATTATATTTTATAGTATGCATCTAAAACCTTTTATGTAGGTATATGTAATAGTACATCTACTATTTATGGATATAATACTATAAATTGAGTACAAAAATKTAGTTTTAATAAATTTAAAAATAATTAAATGTAATTATTTTCTTTATATTATATGTACTTTTCAATTATAATATATTATTTACTGTATGTCTTATACTGTAATTTATGCATTAGATTTATTTCTTATTTCTTATATAGGTAAMAAATATGAACCAAACTGAAAATAACGATGAAATCACTTTGGATATGCTTGATGAAGCCTTAGAAAGCAATTTAATTGATGAGGTATTTGAATTTTCAGAAGGTACAGTAAGTACTAATAACAATGATGATGATATTGATTTACAAATTCCTCCTGAAGTTTTTGGAAATGATTTTGATGAGACTATACCTATTAGAGATCCAAAATGGGAAGATACTGATTGGATTGAAGAAGATGTTACATGGCTTGATAAATTACCTGATCCCCCTGATAGTTTAAAATCTCCATATTCTTATTTCAAAATGTTTATAGATGATGCTATTATAAAAAATTTAAGTGAACAGACTAATTTATATTCTGCTCAAAATAATGGATTTAGTTTAAATACCACACCACAAGAAATGGAACAGTTTCTTGGCATACATTTGTTCATGAGTATTGTAAAAATGCCTTCATACCGTATGTTCTGGTCAAACCGAACTAGATTTAATCCTGTTTTTGAAACTATGTCACGGAATCGGTTTGACAATCTTCGAACTAATTTTCACATATCTGACAATGATTTAATGCTTCCCAGAGACGATCCATTGCATGATAAATTGTTTAAAATAAGACCGTTCATTAGTTCTGTTCAAAACAATTTTAAGAAAATTCAAGCTGATGAATTTTGTGCAATCGATGAAATTATAATTCCATTTAAAGGACGATCTCAAATGAAGCAATACAATCAAAATAAACCCCATAAATGGGGTATAAAAGTTTTCGCCATTGCATCTATTAGTGGTTTTATACACGACTTYGAAATTTATGTGGGTAAAGGTACCCTGCCTGCAACAGGATCGGGCTTAGGTATTAGTGGTGATATTGTTATACGTTTATTAGAAACTGTACCTAAATTTAAGAACTATAAAGTAGCAACTGATAATTGGTTCAATTCGTACAATTTACAATGTCATTTAAAATTTTCTGGGATGTTGGGTATTGGTACAGTTCGAACAAATCGACTGTCAGGTTGCACATTTAAAAATGAGAAAGACATGAAGAAATCAGGTCGTGGAACATATGACACYAAAGTTGACACTACTAATAAAATTGTTGCTACAAAGTGGTATGATAATAAATTTGTCCATGTTGTTTCCAATTATAAAGGCATTCAACCATTAGATGAAGTGGAAAGATGGTCTACAGCAAAAAAAGAAAGAGTTGTTGTACCTAGACCAGCATCAATTAAAGAGTACAACAGGTTTATGGGTGGTGTTGACTTGCACGACATGCTCGTTGAGTTGTATAGAACTGATATTCGCGTTCGAAGATATTATTTACGTATAGTTTTTCATATTGTTGACATGTGTGTTGTTAATTCTTGGCTGTTATATCGAAGACATTGCGCTCAAATAAAACAAAACAAATGTATGCCTCTTTTAAAATTTAAAATGGATATTGCTTATAGTTTACTCCTTGCTGGAAAAGTTAAACCTTCTTCAAAACGAGGAAGACCTTCTAAAACACCATCACCATCCAGTAAAAAAAGAAGGCTTTTTGCTCAACGACCAGTAGATGAGGTTCGGTATGACCAAGTAGGGCATTGGCCAATACSAGTTGAAGTATCCAAACGACAACGMTGTAAGCATTGCATTAAAGCATATACAACAACATCATGCTCAAAATGCAATGTTTTCTTGTGTTATACGTTGAATAGAAATTGTTTTGTTGGATTTCATCAAAGTTCCTAATTCATTTTATTAATTAAATTGTTTTTCATTTTTATTATTTATTTTGTATATTGTTTAAATTATAATTTTTAAAAGAAATTGTTATGTTGGCTATCATCAAAGTTGATAATTTTATTATGTTTTTCATTTCATTATTTAAATTGTTTTTCATTTTTATTATTTATATTGTATATTGTTTAAATTATAATTTTTAAAAGAAATTGTTATGTTGGCTATCATCAAAGTTGATAATTTTATTATGTTTTTCATTTCATTATTTATATTGTATATTGTTTAAATTAAAATTGTTAATTAAACAAAAGGAAATACATTGAAAATAAATTGTATTGTTGACTATCATCAAAGTTGATAATTTAATCATGGTTTTCATTTTATGGTCCATAATGTTTTTCATTTTAATTATTCATATCTTATTATAATATTATTGTTTTTAACTAAACAAAAGAAAAAAAAAATTGTTATAATAACATCTTATGTAAAATAGAATTATAATTTTTTTAAGTTAAGTAAGTTGCCTATTAGTAAGGGGCAATGTTGCAAAATTAGTTCATTGATGCCYAATGATTCATTTATACATCATACATTTTTTAGAAAGATGTATTTAAAAAAAATTTTATATTTTGATAATTTTCCCTTAATTTAGCTATTAGAAGTAAGGTTCAAGCAAAAAAAAAATTTTTATTCAAAAATTATAAATACGGGCTTGAAAGGGTTAATAAATAGGTAGGTATATACATTTTTTAAATTTGTATTTTTATTTAATTATTTATTTTTAATGTGAAAAATTACATTTTTTAGTTTTCGCGAGCTTCCTAATATTTGGAGTGAAGTTAGTGCAACTGATTTGCATTAACTCGTTAAGATGTTCATCTGTTAACCGAGATCTGAAATTGTTTTTAATAAAGTTCATCTTAGAAAAAGCGGCTTTACAAACATATGTTGATCCAAACATTGTACACAGTTTTGAAACCAGGCGTTTTAGTTCTGGGTATTTACTTGAACAAACGTATTTCATCCAGAATTGATCGTACTGTAAARWGTTGGTGACTTGAGTAAATTTTTCCTTTAAACTCATGTCTTCCTGGAATTCGATTATCTCCATCTGTAGGGCAGCTTTATTAGAGCCAAAAACGCTTGTGGCTTCACTACTCCATTCGCCGTTGGGATGTAATGAAAAACAATTATTCAAAATTTGCACTACATTCTCAATTTTTTTGAAATCAGTAAATCAATTTTCAAATTCAGATTTAAGTTTCTTTATAAAATTAATGAACTGATTGATATCAATATCATTATTATCTTCAGCGTCATCAAAAACAGTATTTAAGTTCGGAAATTGCAAACGTTCGTTTTCTATATCTTCAACAAAGAGATCCATTTTCCTTGAAAAACATTTGATTTCTGACAGTAGATGGCACACTAATTTTCCTTTACCTTGTAGTTTGAAATTTAAATCGTTGATATGTTTAAATATATCTGTCAAAAAAGCGATAGATGTGACATGTTCTTTTATTTCAAGGAAATCTAAATAGTTTTTTGCGCATAATTGATCACTGCTAGACAAGAATAACTTTATCTCGTCCAATATTGCGAAAAATCGTTGAAGTACCAAACCTTTGCTCAACCACCTTACATTATTGTATAGCTGTAAATCACCATATTGTGATTTAACTTCATCGAGAAATGATTTAAATTGACGGTGCTTCAATGATGATTTGGCTCGAATAAAGTTTACTATTTTGATCACTTGTGTCATTGTAGCTTCGAGATTTAAATTTAACTTGCAACACAACACACTTTGATGGATAATGCAGTGATAAGATATTATCTTGTTATTGCATTTCGGATTATTAATTAGTCTCTGAACAAAACCTTTTTTATTTCCAATCATCGATGGCGCGCCGTCTGTTGTTAATGAAATAAGTTTTTTCATATCTAATTTATATTTTTCGAAATATTCTATAACAGCTTTATATATGTCTTCACCACAAGTGGTCCCTAAGAGTGGTAAAATAGTTAATATTTCTTCAACAAACTGTTCACTGGTATTGTCGAAATATCGCACAAAAATACACAACTGAGCTGTATCAGTCTTATCACACGATTCATCCATAGCTAAAGCATAATAACCCGTGGCCGATAAGGATTGTATTAAATTAGAATGATTCTCCTTTGCTAATAGTTCTGTATTTCGAGTATTTGAAGACGCAGATAACGGAATATTACGAATAGTCTCCATAATATCATTTTTACTATCAAATAACGCATTTCCAGCTTCAATCATACATTCTTTGRTTATATCAGCATCGGTAAACGGTTTCATGTGTTTAGCAAGTATCCATGAAATACGCATAGAAGCCTCTGTACATTTTTCTTGTTCACTCATTGCCTTGTTAATAATTTGAGTCGATGTCGAATAAGATAAATATAAACTCTCAATTTTGGATTTACGAAGATTACTTCCTACCWGGTACTTTTCACTAAACGATTTGTGTTTAGTCTCATAATGTCTTTTCAGATTTGAACTTTTGATGATGGCWACKGTTTGTTGACAAATCAAACAAACAGGTAAAGCTCCAACACGGTTAGGTAATGTAAAACAATATAAATCAGTCCATTCTGCGAGAAACTGTCGATTTTCAGCTTCTACTTTTCTTTTTTTTCTTTCCATATTCAAAATACACACAGTGCAATAAACGGTTTGAACTTATGAACACTATCTATACTCGAAACTCGTCTGTCGCGTCGCGGCACATACGGATTACTGCGAACTATACACGCGTTCTACGTAGACAGACGCTCGATGTTATGATCTTATCTTATTATTTATTATCGGATTTAAACTAGATAAAAACTATTCCGTGGATAAGGCCCGTTTCATACGCGCCACTCCGACGATGGCGCGTTTGCCTCGCCAGTATGGCGCATATGAATTTAATCAATGTAAAATGAAAACGCGCGCGCGGTCCGTAAAAAAAGTGCTCGAGGTCCGTATCCGGACCGCGGTCCGCCAGTTGGTGACCCCTGCCATAGACAATACAAATATTATAATTTATTATCAAATGTAATAAGTACAATATAAAGTGAATAATTATAGAATATGTTTTATACGTGAAAATGCCCTTTTACTAAATTAATTTTGAAAAGAAACTAGAAACATTTTTTTCCATTGATTGGTTGAGATCTGTGTTAATCGTTTTACTTGAGCTTGGCATGTAGTTTGAGTAAATTAGTGGCTGAATTTCGGGCTGTTGAGATTCTGGTTGCTGAATATTTGGTTGTTTATAATTGGCTTGTTCTGGTTCGTTTGTATGAGAGATTGGCGGTGTCGTATTAGAGAGATGTTGAGAGTTTTGCATTACCGTGTTAGAGAGATGTTGAGCATTTGGCATTGTCGTATTAGAGAGATGTTGAGCATTTGAAATTGTCGTATTAAAGAGATGTTGAGAGTTTTGCATTACCGTGTTAGAGAGATGTTAAGCATTTGGAATTGTCATGTTAGAGAGATTGCTCAAATATTCGAGGTATATATGTAGGATGATAAAGTTGAGGATTAAATTGTAGCAAGTCATTAGTTTCGAATGTATGGTGTGGTTGACTGTTCATTACTTTAAAATCTTTAGTGAGTGCCTCAAGCTCCCCTTTTCGAGCGTATACGGCCTGGTTTCCTTTAAGGGAACGTAGCTTGTGGGCTATATACTTTCCGTAGGCTTCAAATTCATCATCGGGACGAATAGCTTTTAGTTGCTGTCTCGCTAGCTGCATCACCTCATCTGTCGGAGTTAGTTTTTTTTTCCGCTTTGGCTGCGGTCCGATAGGTGATGGTGTCACACTTCGTGATGTAGTTGATCTATCATCACCTGATGTTGGCACGACTGATGTGGTGACCTCTCGTTGGTAGGAATGGTCTAAATCTGTAGATTCAGAATCTTCCTGAAATATAATAGAGCATATATTTTTAGTTGCCTTAAAAAGTATAAGAATATACTATGGTAGACACAACAATTTTTGTTAATTTTTTAGAAATTTAAACTTCAAAATTTTAATTTTAAATAATTAAAAAAATTATGCATAGTATTTTTGATATTTTTCAGCTGCATAACTAAAGCCTTGTATTAACTTTTCAAGTTATTTGAACGAATCAAATTTTATTGACATTCATAGAAAAAAAAACTAAAACTACTTAAAACTGAAAATGTCCATAAACAGCTTAAGACAAGTCAAAATATTTTAAAAATTGTATGGTGTATAGAAAATGCTAATATAAAATTATAAACATTCAGTAAAAATGTCATGTATCTACGTCCTACGAACATTTGTTTTAGAGTTATACCAAAAACTAAAATCGATTTTGCGTAAAAATTCCTGTTTTCCTTAATTTTTTGTTTTGTTTTTACCGGTGCATATTATGGAAACTATTGGAAGTTTTTATTTTTGACCCCCCAAAGTACCAACTAGTACTAGATTCACTTTCCTATCAGAAAAGATACTGTTGAAAACACACACACACAATCACACATCGCTCTGCTCAGAATCTAAAGAAACTTTTTTTATTCCAGTTTCCTAAAACAGCAAATGAGTGGATGAAAATCGCTTCAGATTTTGAAGAGAAGTGGCAATTTCCTCATTGTTTTGGTGCGATCGATGGCAAACATGTCCAGATCGTTCCACCAAAGGATAGTGGTTCCCAATACTACAACTACAAAAAGACACATAGTATAGTCTTAATGGCTATTGCAAACGCTCACTGCGAATTTATATATTGTGACGTAGGAACGAACGGTAGAATATCTGACGGAGGTGTGATAAATAACACTATTTTCTACGAACGACTTGTAAATAACCAATTGGATATTCCTGCACCTGAACCAGTAAGCTTCGATCTTGACCTGGAATATGTTTTTGTGGGGGATGATGCTTTTGCGATGTGACCTGATCTTATTAAGCCTTACAGTCGAGATTCACTTAATAATGAGAGAAGAATATGTAACTATCGGATATCGAGAGCACGGCGAGTGGTTGAGAACAGTTTTGGAATTTTAACATCAAGATTTCGTATTTTTAACAGTGCAATTAATTTACAAGTGGAAACTATTGAATCAGTAGTTCTCGCATGCTGTGCCTTGCACAATTTATTACGCAAAAAATCAGTTTCCTACACCTCTCTTGAATGCTTTGATCACGAAAATACTATGGATGGTACTATTCAACTAGGTGCAAGGTGTAATCCCGATATATTACACAACCTCGAACGACGTTCAGGAGGTCAAGTTTTACAAAGAGCAAAAATTATTCGAGAAAAGTTTTGTACATATTTCAACGGTGAGGGGTCTGTTCCTTGGCAAGAAAAAAGTGCATTGAACGTTTGAAATTTACAGTTCTTGAAAAAAGATCATCATATTAACTGCTTGTAAGAATTTAGTTTTATTTAGTTTTATAGCGATTTTTTCACTTTACCCACTAGATTACAAACAATTCATTTGAACACTATTTATCATTAATTCATTAATACATAGTAAAGTATAATATTATACTACATAACATTTATATAAAATTATTAATAATTATTGTTCATTATTATTATTAATTATTATTATAAATTATTATTATTATTATTATTATTATTTATTATTAATTATTAAGCTAATTTTACTATAAATAAAAATAATTTGACTTACAATATATTGTTGTGTTTCTTCGTCCTCGTCATCCATTGTGTTCCTAGTAGGTCTTACAGAGTCCTGGTCGTTCAAAAAATGCAGAAGGTCGAAATACCACAAACTAGGTTTATAGATTTCATCCGCTCCAGCCCCAGATTTTGACGAATTATTAACTTTTGATAGTTCTTTCTTATAAACCGTACGCAATGCATTAATTTTTTTCACAACAGTGTTTCTGTCTGCCGAGGGATCAAACTCTTTGTACTTTTTAACCATCTATTCATAAGCAAGGCTTTTTTTATTTCTGTCTGAGTATTCTTTGCTTTTAACAAGCCACAAGCAGGGAAAACTTTTATATAGCTCAATAACTTCTCTCAAGAAGTCTCGAGGTGTTTGCTTGTCACGAGGTGTTTGTTCTGCCATGATAATTTGAGTAAAAATAAAAAAAATTATCAACAAAAAACGAACTATCCTCCGTGAACGGCCAATGCAAACTAAATCAAATTGTAGCGATAAATTGTTGCTACATGTTTACATGTTCCAACTTGTCGTTACGATTTGCAGAAATTGATGCCGCTCGGCTTCAATCATACGATCCAATTCCAATTCCAATAAATCGCTACAATGTCATATTTATACATAACGATAAATCGAAACAATTCGATCGTTACGATAAATTGCTGGAATTTATTGTTACGTGTAAACCCGGCATTAGGCGTTAGATGTTAGGGCATAGGGTTCGAWTCCGGCGGCGTAGAATAATAAATTTGATAGATTTCTCTCCGACTGCGTAAGTAAAGAGGAGTACCTAGTATTTAAGTATTTATTGTAGGTATAATATGCAAAAATAACAATTCAAAATAACAATAATAATTGATTGATCTTTTTTTTTATTTTTTTACCGATGTCCTAATGTTTTTTTCGTTTTTTTTTTTTTTACGTAATTTTTCAATGTTCTAATGATCATAATTTGTCACTCGAATTACTGTTGCATATTATACCTACAATAAATAGTTAAATACTAGGTATTCCGTGTTTTTAATCTGTTATATTTCATTATTACAAATAATAACTACGCGTGATCTATTTATTGATATCGATAAAAGTGTTTTTGAAAATACTGTGGTCTCTGGATATCGCTTAGTACCGTTAAGGTGGGGACAGACTATTGTCACGTCACGTGAGCTCACGTGCTGTCACGTTGGCACATTTAATCCGTGATATCACGCTTAGAAATAAACTATCGTCACATTATCATGTCACAATTTAGTACCAAGTCAGTAGTCACTGTGTTGGTGTGAACTTACACAGTTTTTTTTTCTTAAGAAAAATTATAATGGAAATATTAACTTCAAGTAGTTCAGAGTGGGAAGAGGAATTAGAAACTGCAGCTGTTTTTGCAGTTTTGGACGAAGAAAATAAAAAATCCACCCGATCGTGMTGGGTACACGATATTAATAAAAAAAGGTCAAAATTGGGAGAATTCCATCGTCTAGTTCAAGAACTACGAAACGATCCAAGACGATTTCATATGTATTTCCGTATGACGAAAGAAGAATTTGATTATGTACAYGACCTTATTAAAAAAGACATACAAAAACAAAGCACACAATTTCGAAAACCTATTAGTACCGAAGAAAGGTTAGCTGTTTGTTTGAGGTAAGTAATAAAAAATAAAATATTTCTCGATATATAAATTATTTTATTATTTTTAAATTCATTTTAAATTATTACAAATAAAGAATATTAACATATTAACACCAAGTATTGAGATTATGAATTATTAGTATACAATTTTAGATTATTTATTAAGCTAATATTAAATCACYCGTATTGAGTATGAGGAATGGACATCATTTGAAGTAATGTTGGTCTGGTAGGAGTCTGGTCTTGTGCTGGAAATTGTTGCTCCACTGATCTTTGATAAATTTGTTCAGTAGTTAAAGAATAATTGTTGGGTGAGTCTATAGGCGATGGCATTTCATGTGAACTACTCGTACTAAGTGCTGAG